CGAGCAGAAGTAGAATGCGCGGCTCATCACGAAAAGAGGCTGATTAAAGGCAAAGGTCGGGCTCAGACACGCTAGAGAAGTAATTCCCGTGCCTGGAGGTTGTATGTGGGTAGCTGCACACATTGCAGCAACTTCCCACCTTGAAAAACCCCGTTAAGGCCCCGGGGCGTTCGGTTTCAATCCGGGCCGCCTCAATCCAGGACCGCCCACCTCCGGAAGTGGTGCGTGGCTGGCATAACGTGTGAAATCAGCTAGGTTGATTGCCGTATCAACCGATAGAACGACTGACATCTCCAGAAAACTTGTTTGTACGTGCCTCTTTCCCCAAGCCAGCCTCCTTCACTGCTAGTGGGAAGAGGGTTTTGTTAACGGCCTTGTCGACGGTTTTTCTCAGTTTTTTCTCCACTGTCGTTCCACTTCGCATCTCTATACTCAGTTTCAATCGCCATAATACCCCCTTATTGAGCCCGACTTTTGCCTTTAAGCAACACCCCCAGATCGAATTTTGTAGAGTAATAGCCGCGATAATGAGGTTGGAGACGGCGAGCTGACTAACTGGAAAAAAAGAGAGAAGCAAAGAAACCCGTCGATGAAGCCCAAAACAAAAATTCTCCCTGAAATAAGGAAGGGGCGGGGCCAGACGAGTTGTACGAACTTGCCTGCTCCACGGCTCAACTAACCGTATTTGAATTAGCCGCTACGCCGTAATCCACGTTGCGTGTCATGGGGTGTGCGCTACGTAACTCGTCCAAATGCTAAGATTAGTCGCCAAATGCTGATTATTTAAACCCTTGCACAAGTGCTACGCACTTTCATCTGAACTACTCGTGGGCTTCTCTATTGTGTAGATTCTTCGACACGACTTGTGCTGAGGTTGCTGCTTCAAACTTCTTCTGTTCAGGTTGATCCTGGAACAAGCGCCAGTGATGTCAGTAACGGTGAGCTGGAGAGAGGAGGATCAAAGGAAGAATTGCGAACGAATCGTATTCCGAAAAAGGCTTCTCAGGTCCGTCCTTTTTGTACTGTTTCAGTAAAAAGTGAGTACGTGCTTCTCAGTTCCTTATTGATCGTGGTTTAGGAAAAAGTAATGCGCTGGCAGGACACAACCACTGCTCCATATGACGACATCATTCATTTCAAAGGAGAGCGGCATTTCAGGAATGTCAAACAGTTAACTTTCGGTGGGCAGAATGCTGAGGGCTATTTCAGGTCTGCTCCTTCTATTATCTTGTCAGGATTTTGCCTTCTGTCTCTTTTCTTTCAATCTTGTAAGTATTGTATGCGAAAAAGTGATTCAATCATCGAAGTTGGCTTTGTGTTTTGCACCACGCCCCTTTTGAGCCAGCTCCGCCCATGAGTGCTTCATATACAGAATGTTGGCACATGAATATTCCATAGATCACGAGCAGTTTTAAAACTACAGATGTAACCCCAGCATATAGCCTACTGCTGACAATCTGCATTTTTCACTTCCGCCTGCCAGTTCTCACTTTCAGTTACGACGATTCGAAACTTACTCTTCAGGCGACCGGCTATGGAACCGCTTGCGATCAGGTGGGTGATTGTCATGTTCAGCAAAAATTTGAGCCCATCATAACTACGTTGTTCTCAGATCTATGAGCTCGACCTCAACAAAGATCCAAGGGATCAGATAATGAGAAGGATCAGTACCGGTCTAGGTACCACCACTTGCTCGTTCTTCTACAAAGAGCCTGATAACGATCGTCGGCTTTATGCTGGAAACTTCTGGGCGGTAAGAAGAAGAGATGGCAACTGTAAACTGACCCTTTAAAAGCTAAACCATTTTCAGTTGAATGCAACGACGTTCAAGAACATCAGGAACACTTGTCCAGCGAAGAAATGCGCGAATCCGGCGACCATAACAGATCCGGTGCTGAAGCAGCTTTGTAACACCTCCTACACTTGGGACGTTTTCCCTGACTACGATATATTCCTGGTAAGTACCTGTTCTCATACCTTTTCCTTACAGTCATCCTGTCCGCTTCTAGGTGAACAAATACGGTAACATCATTAAACAACTAACTGACGAGCGTGGATACGACTGCTGAAGCGGTGCTGCTTAGCCCCGATGGGAAAACAATCGCGTTCACATCGGATTCGTCCGGGAGCACTTCAGAGTTGTATTACGCATGAAAAAGGATGGCCGCTCGTGGACGAATGTCGAAACAGGTGAGCTTGCGCCCGCAAGGATTCGTGGCTATTCAAAAGCAAAGTCAAGAAAACTTTAGATTACCATGACTGCGGCTACGACGGTGGGATCGTTCGTTCGTGCGCAGATGTCCGGAAAGCTCCGGGTTGATGTTTGTCGATGGTCGAGGTGCGGTCGAAAACGCGAGGAGGAAGATTAAAGAGAATGACAGGTTATAAGGAGTGGAAAGTAAAGAGTACTCGCACTGACCAGTCCGATTCGTGTGACTGAACATCAGGATTATGCCGGGCGTGACGTCGCGTTTATCTTTGTTTTCTAGAAATTTTGCGAGCATCTCCTTTAGGGGGGGGGAGGGTCGGTGTCCCCATACTTGTCTATTACCGGATTTCCGGAATGCGTGTGCACTCTTGAGATAACCCTTAAATAACACCTTTTTCTAAAACTTGTTCCAGGTAGTTATCCTTGCTCCACCCAAAATCCGACCTCCTTCCGTTCTCAAAATCGCAACTGCGACCCCTCGTTCGAATAATTCGAACGGACGATTGACCATGATTTATACGTTATCTCAAAAGTAAAACTGACCAAAAGTAGTCTGAAGAGAATAAATTGTCGCTAAGAAGTTCCTGAACAAATTTCAAAATTTTGTATAAGGAATTTTTTTACAAAGTTTTTATATAAGGACGGTGCTGTGCCAAAGTCTCACCTTGTCATAACGTTGAATAGTTTTGAAGTTCCAGAAATTTCTTGCCAACAGCAGAACACACAAAATCCAAGAAAAGAGCCTCAAGAGTGTTCTGTCGAGTGGTCTCAAGACTGACCATAAGTTATCTACAGCCTCACTTTTGATCACTGCAACATCTTGTGCTTATAATTAGCTCCTTTTTCTGTCCTGAAATATTTTTTTATCAGCAGGTCAGTTAATATTTCCTAATGTGATCTGCCTGCAGAAGCTGCTTGAGTACAACTTGGTGGAGCCAGTACTGATGGAATTGTACGTGGTGGACGTGGATGGCTCCAACATGAGACAAATCACCAACCTCAGCGTTGCCAGCTGGGCACCGTATTACCTGGCAGACAACAAACGGATTGTGTTCAGGTATCTAGAACGTCAATTTTCTGGAGATCACGTTCTTGTAAGGCTCAAAGCAGATGGGCTATAATTCTCGAAATACTCCGAATCAAACCTCTGGAAAAACCTTCAACAGTGAGACTGCTATGTGGTTCTCATCTGCAAGATCACAAAACGATCTCACAGAAGTGTTATGAGAAGTGTAATGAACTCAAATGGTCTTTTGACAGTTATTTTCTCCCAAAGTGGTTTCATTTCAGCTCGAACTACAATGCAAGTGACAACGGATTTGGAGCTTTCGCTCTGTTTGTTATAAATGATGACGGAACCGGATTGGAGCGGGTGAGTACACCACCTACAGTCCATGCCGTCGCACTTGACAGAAATTGCGCGGATGAGCTGCACCATGCTTTGCTGATGTCCAGCGGAGTAGGTTAGAACTTGTGCACACGACTTCTATCAAGTGCGGCAGCGGCCACGTCATATCCATAAACACGCCTAGTCAGGCTTCGAGATATGGACTATATAAAGCTGCTTTTCAATCATTCATGAATTCTCATAAGCCGTAATCATTGAAGTTATATCTAGAAGTCAGAATAAACAACGATCGTAGAGGTGAAGTTTGCTAAGAGAACTTTTAAATCAGTTCCAAGGCAACCCGGACACTGGAAAAATTGGCAGAGATTAGTGAGGTGATATACGAGCAAAGGGCGGATCATTCGCTGACAAGTCTAAATTTAGAGTCTACGATTAGAATGCAGCCCATTGCAGTTAAGGTAAAAGTACTCAGTGGTGCTTGAATGAAGAAAAACCATGAGGAACAGCTCGGAACCCGAGAGCGAAGATGGGACCCTTTTCCTCCCGTTGATTTCCGCATTGATGCGACTCTCATCGGTGCTGCCCTCTTCAACGCTAACGCTCTCTCTGCTAACGGCTAGAGACCTGCGGCGAGTGGTTAGCCAGTCGGTGGGCGTGCCGCGTCGATAGCGCCGCGGGGAAGGCCATGCTAGGTCAACGGGGGCATATCATTCGCTGAGAACAACGTGTTGGTGCGCACGATCAGTGGATCTTCCTGTCTTTCCACTAGGTAACTTTCCCCTTCTTAGACCTTATCGTGAAATCCTTTAATTTGACAGTCTTCGTTGCGCTGTTCGATATCGACATGTTAATGCTGAGCGGGCAAAAGGTGCGGTGCTATACTGTTTCTCAAAATTTCTCCTCGCTAAGGTGGTTGCTGCTCACGAACTTTGTCAGCGTTCAGAATTGAAACTGTCTTTGGGGGAATGAGCTAGTTTCATGTAAGAAGTGAGAGATCGATCTTGCCTATAAATGGTGTTTTTAATGCTGAGAACTGAAAGTCTACTGAAGCGTAGAGAAGAGGCTTTAGATGCAGCCAATGAATTTAGTCGGAGGCAGATATCAATTTGTGATGTTGATTTTTGTCATGCAATTGTGTTGCGGAAAAAACTGCTGTCATTTCATTCGTCATTTTTGCCTCCTATCAAGCCCCTCAGTGGCATTACGAGTACATCACGACACGACGCAGCATTGATAGCTCCTGAATTCCGAGATCAAAGCAAACCTAGGAAGGGGCTGCATGCGCATGCACTAGAGTAAGTTCGCTCGCCAATGGAATGTCTTATTTCCAATGTCTAAGCCAGCATGTTATTGTGTATTCACAGGCTACTTTAAACAAATTGCTATTGATTTAACAGATAAGCTTCCGCAAATGAAAATACAGGTTCAACTCGTTCCGACTGCAGGAACGACGGCAGCCGAACGACCTGGTGTGGGCATCGAGCCGAGAAACCGACAGCTCACGCTACCAGTATGGTTTCGATCTGACCCTCTTCGGCTGAGACTGACCGGCATGACGTCATGGCGCTGCGGGTGTATGCGTCCCTTCTCACATCTCTACTGGTCCACTTTTGATGGCACTACGAAATTTCCGTTGTGATATCTGTTGTTGTTTGTTTTTGCTGGCTAACACTTATTGACTTCGCTGCTCACGATCTTGTCTTGAGTCGGAAAATTCTACACGTCAGTTCTAGTAGGGGGGGCCCTGCGGGACGGAAAGTAAATATGTCATGGCTACACGATGTACATCCGGTGCCGGCTTGATTTGTTCAGATTTAATGGCCTTCCCTGTCATTTCTGTCGACTCTACATGCGTGCCCGAACTGAAGAAGGAACGACCTCTCCCGTTCATTCGTCTTACCTATTGGCGGTCATTGTTAAGTTAATGAACATTTGTAAAATCGAACCAGGTTGTTATTTTCATCGCGTCAGATCTCTTAATAAGATCGGTTCGATTCGTTCAGACAACCAATTACAAACCACGTAGCGATCAGGCTATGTAATACAAAAACATTCTCCTTTCCCTCACTTTCGTCGTACTTCGAAGCAGCAGGCCCACATAAGTCGTGTCTCTAACAAGTTGAAGAATCTCTAACGACAGCGTGACGCGGTTGCGCCTTCCACTTCACACAGCTCTTCGGACATGTGGTGCCGCACCGTTTGCGCGCTCCCTATCCCATGCACATCACTCTTTTCCTCCGCGCATTTGCACAACTTTTTTACAATGGTTTGTTTTTTTTTTGGATCACACGACAGCATAAGCGTAAAAGTAGGGTTCGCCGATGGTCGAATATGCTTCATTCTAGCAGAGGTTTTCTAGCAGGCGTTTCGAATTCGGCAGCTCGGCACACTTCTTTGTTTTCTTCTTGATCTCGACCATGTGATAAGAGTGCGTAGCAGAAGTAAGTGCAAACCTGTACTCATACAAAATAAATGTTTTACTGAAAAAATTAGCTCAAAAATTCTCTTAGCTCCTTATAACAAAAGCAAGTAAAATTTGCTATTCTATTGCCATTACATTTTCTTTTGCAAAGATTCCATCTCTACACCCGACTAACTTCTATGGACGGATACGCGCGGAATAAATATAGTGACAGTTAATTCAAAAACATGTTCAAATTCTTCAGGGGCCGTATGCAACAAGCTAAGAAGGTCTTCGGAGATATATCCTTGACGACCTTCGGGACCTGTTGCATACGGCTTCAGGATACATCCCCGACGCTGTACTAAAACGTCGGGGATGAATCCCCAACTCTCGACCAGGATCAACCGTCCGTTCGCACTATTCGAACGAGGGTGTCGTATTTGGTCGAGGGAGGGGGCCGCAATCTCGAGGATCCGCAGCCGAAATCGCGGCGGTAGCGTCATTGGTCGGTGGATGAAGGCTGGGAAGGAACGCTCACAAAGAACATGAAGTTGTCATAAACTCAAATAATTATTCTTTCAGGCTCGACCGTTTCGTCCTGAGTTTCTTCCGCGTGAATTACTATATATCGCAAAAAAATTTCTGTATTCAGCAAAACTTTTAGGGAGAGCTCGCTTCGTCGCAATAGAGCGTGGTAGCAGTGCCAAAAATTGAGCAATTCGGGTCATAGCAAAAGGAAATAGACTTCTTCCAAATACCTTTGCAACTTTGAACCACAGGCGCGTGCGCGGCGTATCCGAAAACAAGCCTTCTTTGTGCCGACCGCATTAGATTCGATTTACTGCGCACATAGAGTTAGTTTGGAGAAATTCCGATGTTTTCGGACCAAATAAAGAACAATTGAATGCAGTGCTATGAAGAATTTGACTTCTCGAGGCTGAAATAAAGTTCTTCAGGGACCTAATTTTTTGAGGACGATTCTTCCAGACAACGGTAAACATATAAGAAAGCAGAAATCTCGTAGTCTTCAAAAATGTCTTCGCCCCTCCCCAACAAGTTCTTTGAAGGAAGTTATTATTGCTGAAAGCTCAAAAACTCGCATGTGCTGCTCAAAAACCTATGGGAAAAAATGTTCGAACGTGTGATTTTCTCGGAAAATGAACTTTGAAAAACGGTTTGGTGCTTGTTAGAAAGAGCAAATCCTGTTTTCTTGCCATGAAAAGTTTGCCACAGAAATGAAAATGAAGTGAGTTATGGCCACTGAAAGCCCAAAAACTCGCCTTCGTACGGAAAAAGTGCAAACGGAACCTCGTGCATAGTCCAAATCTACCTCAACAATTCAAAAAAGTATGTTGCAAGAAAGTTATTCCCCTCTAAAATATTTTCTTCTCCGCGTCCCGTTCTCTCACCGCCTGGGTGATACCTGCCGCGCTCCAAGGCTAACGCCGCAACGCAGCTGCGCCCCAAAGCTTCATAATTTTCTTGCGCCTTCGCGCCGTTATTTCTTTCTGTTTTGTTTTCATTTTTTTCGTTTTGTATTTCAATTCCGTACATTTTGATTGCGTTTTGTACTCGATGCGTAAATCTGCTTTCCATTGCCTTTGCGTGACAGCAGCCCACGAATTGAACTGCTGTCCACGAAAAGGCAGTAGGTTTTGAGTTGAAGTTTCCGCAAACGTTTCATTTGCTTTTCGTTTTGTACGTGTGAGATATTTCATGTGTGTAGGTAGTTCATCCATATCAAGTGTAGGTGTGAATCATGTTCCACTCATTTTTCTTCAGATGGTTTTCCCCGATCATTCCAATGTGACCGCAAACGCAATGAAGGGAGACACTGAAGACAAGATTGATGGAACCTGAAAAAGGAAGGACAAACGTTTATTTGAAAATTGAGTGAATTTATGAAGAAAAAATTCAAAGCAATTGATTGCGAAGAATGTAAAAAAAGTGTATTGTAATAAAATGCCAATGTGAATGTAACAAAACATTGTTAACAGCACACTTACACTTAACAGCAAAATTAAGAGTAACAGGGGAGGGTCACGCCTGGACCCAAACT